CCCAGCCGACCCCCCTCACATGGCCATAGTCAGCGTCGCCCGGGGCTCCCTTCTTCGGCTTCTTGCCCAATCCAAGGGCTTGAAGTTTTTCGACATCACCGGTACACCTCCCACCCTCGCGCCCTGCCTCGCAAACACACGCCCCCGAATGGACGCACATGCATGCGACCATGCGCGCGCCGCTCGGGCCACTCGGCTGACCTGCCATATGCATAGACACGTTCATTTCGGACGAGCGTGCCCCCGAGCTGCTGGAGGCCATACCCTTTCACCGGGGCATGTACCATGTGTCCTTCAAGGGTGCGACACGGCCACACCCTCCCCGGGGCCTGGGCCTTCCACATGCGCCGGTGTCCCCTGCTGTAGACTCACGCACTTTGCCACGCCGACAGACCTCTACTTCGCCGATCAGTTTGTCGACCACCTTTTCCTCCACTGGAACAACTTCCAGTCGCTGCACACCCTGCAGCTAAGCTGTGCGACCCGGTCCCGCCCCCTGGAGGGGCATCCTCATTCCCGCCGCCACCACCTCGACCACCGCCACTCCGCCGTACATTCCTACTCACCCACTGCGCAGTCATCTGGCTCAATCCCAAGCGATTGGCCATTCTTCTCGGCCTTGTGTTCTTCTCGTCCTCCATCAAGCGGCTCATCCTCTCGATCACCGGTGCGTTTGCGCTTGGTCTGCGACAGCTGGGGACAGGCTCCCCAGCCGACGGCCCGTCCCTGCGTCCTGCGCTGCTGCATGCTCCTCCGCTGCTGACCGCCCCCCTCCCTTCCCCCCTTCTTGCCCCATCATCAGGACCCGCGGTCCAGGAGGATCCGCTCCCCGGCTACATTGTTAGCAGCCTCGCCCAACGTATGACCATGGATCCATTGATGTTGCCTCGGCCTCCTCTTCTTTTTTTTCCCCACCGCTGCCGCCGCCATCGCTGTGGTTGCCCCTGCCCCATGCTGCTCTCTCTTCCTCTCTCTCTCTCTCTTTCTCTCCCACCTGACACCGCTGCCCGGTCCTTCCCTGCGCCAGATAATATCCCGGCGTTGTGCTTTGGCCGGGACTACCAGCCCGCCGAGCCCACCGGGCCGGGGAATATGAGCGACACCGACATGGTGCTGGCCATTCTCCGTGATGGCATCGCACAAAACCCATTCATCGAATTGCTGGGCTTCTACAATCGTACGCAGCCACACACACACACACACACACACACACACACACACACACACACACACATGCCTCGCCCATGCGGCCCTCTTTCCATCTGCCGCTGCTTGCGCTCGGGTCATGTGTATTTTTTTTTGTCGCGCCCCACTTCCGATGCTAATCTGCCCCACGGCACCCTTCAACCAGTTGGCGTCTCGTATGCACGCACCCAGCGCGCCATCGCCGAAGGACTCGAGTTCAACACCTCCCTCCGGTGGCTGTCAGTCATGCAGCCCGGCGGAGGACCGAGCCAATGAGTGACCAGCGTCACCCCCGCCCCCTGGCGCCCTTCCTCCCCCCCTTGCTATCTCTCCCTCTCTCTTGTTATCTCTCTCTCTCTGCCCCCCTCTCCCTCTCCACTCCCTCTTCTTGGCCGCGCTCCTGCATAGGCCCTGTAATGTACCCCGCTGGCTCGGGAGGACCACCATTACCAATAGACCAAACTCCCGCGACGGGAGTACGTGCATGGACATGCCCCCCCCCCCCCCCCAGCAGGCCGGCGATGAAGGGGCGAGTGAGCAGCTGGCTTTGTGTTGGGCATGCACCTGGCGCCCCCCACAGTCGGGCGAGGAACGCATGCAGTGGCCCCGGGACGGGGGGTCAGGCTCTTGACACGGGGGGAAGGGGCCCGGGCGGCCGGCCTCCATAGAAAAGTACCCGATTGGTGGCCGACAGGGGGATGTCGCTGAGGGCCGGCAACGGGGCATACGGGTCCGTGGGCACGGTCATCATGGCACCTGCCGCCGGGAGGGGCCCATGCCCGTGTTCCAGGGAGCCCCCGGCCTCCGGGTGCGGCGCGAGATCGACCGCCGACACGGGGGGGCATTGCTGCGGGATGGCCGGGCGAAGCAGGCCCACGCGGGAGTGCGAGTCTGCGGCGCGGGAAGGGGAGCACCGGCCAACGGCATACCAAGGCCATGTCAGCCAGGCGGCCAAGGGCAGGGAGGGAGCCGAGGCGGGGAGCACACGCACCGACAATCGTCCGAGGATCATCCAGCGACGGGGACTTCAGCAAAATGTACCCATAGTACACGACCAGGATGTAGATGATCGACATTGTCAGATGTGCCGGCAGGGCCACTGCCCACCAGCTGGGAGGCGTCCGAGGAGGAAGAAGGAGCAAGCACGAGTACCGGGGGGGGGGGGGGGTAAATGCAGCGCGGCAGGTAAGAAGGGCTGGTCGGAGAGGAGTGTGGCGATGGGCGGCGAGGTGGTGGGGGAACAGGCCCATGCGCACTGGTCCGGGTAGTAGGTAAAGCCGAGCGAGTGAAGCACCGGCTCCGGGAGCAAGGCCCAGCAAAGGAAGACAACTGCGATCGGGGGGGGGGCCGAGAGAAGCAGGGAAAGCAAGAGGGGCAACAAGAAGATGGGCGGGTGAGTGGCCGGGCAACCGGTGGCTGACAGGTGGCAGGAGGGGGCCCGGGGACGCACGGAAGCCGAAGAACGACCCGAAGTAAAGGACAAAGCCATAGATCTCGGCTGCCGGGGCGGGGAACATCCTGCCGGCCGAGAGGGGGGGAAAGAGGGGGAGAAAGAAAGAGACGGGCGGCGGAGGGTGCACACAGGGGGGGGGGGGGGGGAGGAGCCTGGCTGTCCGACGGCGATCAGCCTTCAGACCCCGGCACGGATGCCCTTCTTTGCTCGCCCGGCCGCCTGGCCGGCGGTAGATCGCGTCCAAGGGCCGACCGTTGGCAGTTACCATTGGGTGAAGGGGGGCTTCGCATCCCAGCAGCCAGGGCCGAGCAACGGCGCACAGAGCACGCCCGGCGCGGCCGCCCGGGCCCGCGCCCGGGAGCAGCCCTGCTCGCTCCGGGCCGCAGGACGGACAGGAAAGCCGCGGGGGGGAAGGCGCAGGGGAGGCAGGTGCACAAGTGTATTGACACGCGGGGGAGGAGCGGGAGAAGGAAGGACCAGGGAGAAGGGGGGGGGGAGGGGGAACAGCGAGCAAGACCGCCCCCGGCTACCCCACGGCCCAGGGGAGGCGCTCCCATGCGGCAGCCATGGCGAGCAGCGGCAGGAAGAGCACCGCCCCGAGGACGCGGCCGGCGGCGTGCGCCAGGGCCCCATGACCCGGGGGGGAGACCGGGCCGCGGAGCTGGCCCGCCGCCGGGGCATCGGCCGCCGGCAGGGCCACGGCCACGGCCGCCGGCAGGACCGACGCCGGCCGGAGGCCGAAGTCCCGGCATAGGAGCCCCAGGAAGAGGAGAACCTGCTGGCGGAGGTTTTCCTGCCCCGGCAGCTCGTTCGGCAGGATGTACGTGGCCCGGGTGCGCTTCTGGGACAGGGGCATCTGCGAGCCAATGCGATTGAGGGCCTGCTCCACGTCGCCGGCCGGGAAGGCGGCCGGGTCGACGGTCGAGTAGCAGGCGTGCTCGTGCGCCAGCGGGGCCCCGGTGCCTGCCGAAGACAGGCCACGGAAGAGCAGGCGCTGGAGCTGGACCTTGTCGCTGCAGTCGATCAGCACCGAAACGTGGCACCACGCGTCGAGGTTCCCCTCGAACAGCAGGGGCACGTCCAGCAGGCAGACCGGCGCGCCGGCGGCGGCGGCGCGCGCGGCCCCGGCCGCCGTGCGCAGGCGGATCGCCGGCTGCATCACCCGGCCCAGCAGGCTCCGCGCGGCGGGGTCTTGGAAGATCAGGCGTCCGAGGGCGGCCCGGTCGAGGACGCGCTGCTGCGGCGCCCCCCCGGCGGCTGCCGGATCGCCGCGCTCATGGACCAGGGCGTGGCCGGGGAAGGAGCGCTCAATCCGGCCCAGGATCGGCGCATTCGGGGCGGTGATCTGCATCCGCGCGGGTGAGTGACAGGCGTGCGAGGGGTGCGGGCGGCGAGAAGACGGGCAGGGCGCACGGCATGGGAAATGGCGTCCGTGTCGACCACCGGCCAGCCGGTCAGCTCGCTCAGCAGGCGGATGGCCGAGGATTTGCCGGTGGCGATGCCGCCAGTCACGCCGACCAGGATCATGTTGGGCGATGGGCAGGGGAAAACACAATGGGGCCATGGGTGGGTGGGGGGGCGGGGAGGATGGAGCTGCCTGGGACCTTTTCCACGTGCAGCGACATGACCCGCCGAAGAGACGACGGCCCCATGCCCGGCCCTGGGCCCTGTGCCGGGGCACATCCGGGTGTGGACACATGCACACGCGCCGGTCTGGGGGGGGGGGGGGGGGGGGACTCACGATCTGCCCACTCTGGCCGCCGCCGCCGCACGACCGCATCCACTCCTTCCCCCGTGCGCGCAAGAAAGAAGAAGAAGGAGAGGAAAAGAGCGCGCGCGCCGGCCGGCGTGCGTTGGGAATTGGGGCCCGTCTATTCACGCAGGGCGCGCGGGGGTCGCGCCGCGAGGACGACGCGCAGCGCGTACAGGCTCTCTCCCCTCCCTCCCCCCCCCCCCCCCTGTCGCGGGACGCGCGGGCAGAATCCGGCCGCCCAATTCCCGCCCCTTCCCCTCCCCGAGGTACAGAGGGATCCCACGCACACACGCACGCGACGGCGCGTGTGTCTGGGCATGGATGCGAGCGTGTGCTTCAATTATTAAAAGATGGGGGAGAGAGTCACAGAGGGGGAGAGGCTCAGAATAAAAAATCGTTTAAAGCACAGAGGCCTTCAGTGAGGCATCTGCTATTTGAATAAGCCTTTGATTTTTCATTCATCATCGCCATCTGTGAGAGGATGTGAAATGAGGAAGAAAAGGGGAGAATGTGCGCGCGCGCGCGGGGTGTTGTATGTGTGTGTGTGTTGGAAAAGCGGCAAGCAGGGAGGGATGCAGAACAAGAACAGAGCACGCCGCAGGGGGAGGAGGGAGGAGGGGCGCGGCAGCGAAGGCAGGAACACTGCACCGGGCCCCGCGCGCGCGCGCGCGCTCCCTTCCACACATCTCCCGCGCCGGCGAAGCGCCCGGATCTCGGCCGCCTCCCGAGAGCACCGGCACACACACATACATGCACACGCGCAGGCACAGACACCACCTGCTCCACGCGCACTGGGGGCGAGAGCTCATTTCGAAGGGCGCCACACCAGGCACGAGGGGAAAGACCGGCCACCACTGGAGGGAAGAAGAGCGCCGAGCGTGCGCGCGCAGACACACACACATATGCACGCCGCCGGGCGCGTCGAGGAAAGGCATGCACACACAGGCACACACACAGAGGGCACCACCGAGAAAGGCGTAAAGGAAATCCCAGGGGCAGGTGCAGCGCATGCCGGTGCGCGCCACATTGTGCCCCTCCACACGGTCACAGGCCCCGACGCTCCGCCCCCCGAGAACCCGCCCCGCCTGTCACCAGGACAGAGGACGGCGAGGGGAGGGGGGAAGACGCGCGGCGACACGCCGGGGAGGGGGGAGACAAGGGGCCGCCCCGGACAGGGCACACCGCCGCCACCAGGGAGGTCCCAGCAGGGCCACTGTGTGCGGTGCGCACATTGCCGTTTCCTCGGCCGCGCGACCGATCGGCGTGCGTGCGTACATGCATGCGGGGGGGGGAGGGGGAGGATCGCTCGCCCCTCCCCGCCGCATGCACGCAGCGCACACACCAGAGCTCGTCCACCCGCGAGGGGCAACCGGCCGTCGTGCCTCGGCCTCCACAAAGTCGACCCATGCGCGACGAGGCACAAGGGAAGAGGCCTGGAAGGAAAGCGGGAGGGGCGCGTACGAGAAGAGAGAGAGAGAGAGAGAGAGCAAAGGTCAGCGGGAGGAAGAGGCGGAGGGAGGGGGGAAGATGGGGAGGAAGATGATTGTGGAGCCCTCAGAATTAAAAAGCTCGATTTGATATCCTCACGTCTGTCTCAGAGGAAGAAATTCAATGGTACAACATCACCGGTAGCCACCACAAAAGGGAAAAGGGAAAGCACATCTGCGCATCTGCGCAGAGGTGCACAGCGGAAGAACAGCGGAAGATGAGAGGGGGGGAGGGGACGGAAGACACGCACTGTGGTGGTAGCTGGGGGCCCCCATTTCAAGCCGGTCAGAAAAAGAATAAGCCCCGTCGAGTTTTGGACCGTCGCCCTCCGCAACGAGAGAGAAGAGCGGCCGGACCAAGTCTGCATGACTGTGCTATGACGATTCACCGCCCAAGAGTCGGACTACGCTCAGTCGGCCCTGTGCACATAACATATGGGAGGGCCGCCGAGGACGGAGGCCCAACCACGCACACGGGGCGTTCCTCTTCGCGATCGTACTCTACATGGCAGAGGGACAACGTTGACAGCGGGTACTTGCTACCCAGTGTCCGGGGACTTTCCCCGAAGGCAGGGGGAGGGGGAGAGGGGGGGGGATGGCGACACGCGCGTAAACGCCCGCGCGCCACAGTGGAGTGAGCCTTCGAAAAGCAGACCTTCGTTCTGACCGGCGAGAAAGGGAGGGCCCACCGTCCAGCGAGTGGTCCCACGCTGGCCCTATTTATAGCTGGCCCCGGCCGCGCGCCGGGCCGCCGCCGACATACACACCCACCTCTCTCAGGGGGTGGTGAGAAGCCGGGAGGAGGCGAGAGGCGCAGGCCCGGCCCGGGGGGGAAGGGGGGGGGGGGGGGCGCCCACGCGACCTCAGGTACAGGGGGTCCTCCCCGGTCCAGCAGCACCGACGCGCCCCTCCCTGTGGCTCCGCCCTGCCGTTCTCGTGCGTGCGCGCGTTCCCCCAAGGCGGAACACCCCTCCCCGGCCGAGGGGCCCAGGCGCCGTGTCAAAGACACTTTTTTTATTGTGCCCATTATCCCGGTGGAGGAGGGGGGGGGGGGGATTTCTCCCCGACAACCAGCGCCCGGAGAAAGCTCGGCATGTCTCCCGGGAGGGCCCGGCGCGCGTTCGGCAGGCACGCCCCACGGAAACCCACAAACCAGTGTGCGCCCGGCGTATTTCCCCCCATCCCCCCCCCCCCCAGCGCATTTGCCACATGCCCGGAGGGAAAAGCGCGGCCGAGGGAAAGACCCCGCGCCCTCCCCGCAACAGGGCCCGCCCGCGGCCATCCCCGCCCGCGGCCAACTGACGCCGGACCCCGGACCCCGAGGGAAAAGTGGCACGCACAGGCGGGCGCGCGCGAATACCATTATCTATTTACTGGGTCGGGGAGGGTGGCGGGTTGGACGGCATGTGAGACTGGCCGATGGTGCTCAGGAGCGAGTGATCCGTGGCCCCGAGGTCGGGCGAGGCGTCACGTGTGGCGCCCGCGCCCGCGTGCCCCGCCTCGGCCACCAGCGTGAATGGGCCCCCGGCTCCGGGCGGATGGTGGTGGTGCCCCTCCGGCGCCGGGGGCCCGTCGTCGGCCGGGCCGCCGCGGCCGGTGGGACTGCCGGCGCTGCCGCCAGCACTGTAGGCCGGCGGCGGCGATCGCGACCACTCGCCGGAGCCCCGGCCGCCGATGGCCTTCTCCATGTCCGAGGAGGCATGGGCACCGGCGGCGGCGGCGCCGGGGCCGCCGCCGCCAGGGTCGGTCCCTCCGCCCCCCGGCGGCGCGGCATCCTGCAGGAGCTGCTGCTCGACCACCGCCAGGAAGACCAAATCATCGGGGAAGAGGTTGACCGCCGAGTCGATGGAGTGCGGCAGGTGCCGGTGCCGGCCCAGCAGCATGGTCAGCAGGATGATCAGCCGCGATGCCAGGGTCATCCGGCCGGACAGCGATGTCACCGCCCCCGGGTAGCCCAGCGACAGGCCGATGTTGCCGTAGGCCGACACCACCTCGAAGAGGATGTTGAAGATGGTGATGTTGCCCGGCCGCGAGGGGTCCCCGATGCCGAGGTTGTCCGTTTCCAGGATCAAGATCAGGTACATGGCCAGGAACAGGAAGAAGGGATGCCGGAAGACGGAGGACTTCACCTGGGCACGCAGGGTTTCCCGACTGCGCACCAGGCTCGTGGCCGCCGCCGGGTTTGGCCCGCCGGTGGCCGGGTCGAAGTTGTTGGCCACCTCCCCGCCGGCGGCCAGAACCTCGGCCGCGGCGCCGGCCGACAGGCCCTCCGGCACCATGTACGTCAGGTCGCCGCCGGGCACCGGGCCAACATTGGACCCGGGCCCGGCGTTGCCCACCCCCGGGGCGGCCTGGGTCCGGCTGGAGAAGCTCTCGGCGCCGAAGCTGGCCCGTCCTCCGGGCGACCCGCCGGCCAGCCAGTCCTCCTGCTCCTCGGCCAGGTCGCCCGGCCGATCGGCATCATCCCCGGCCGGGGCAAGGCCCAGGCGCGTGTCCAAATGCAACACCGGCGATCCCGGCAACGGGGCCGGATCATTGCCAGCCCCGGCACCGGGAGGCCCCCCGTGGGGGTCCTGACGCCAGGGGCGCTTTCGCCGGAGGGTCGACGCGCCCGATGGCCCGGGCGCGGCGATGGCCACCCCGCCCAGGGCCAAGTCGGCGGTCGACCCGGTGCCCGGGACGCCGGCCGGGCCGGGGAGCGTACCGCCGGGGCCGCCGGTCCCCGCCGCCGCCGCCGCCGCCGCCGCCGATGCCGCCGATGCCGCCACCTTGTCCGCGCCATTGACACTCACCGGGATGGTACTATACCGGAGGGCAATGTGAATGGGAGTCGAGGAGATCATCATGAAGCACATCATGAGGAATTGCGCCACCGGCACCGTGTCCGGCACGCTGATGGAGTTGCTGCCGGTGGTGCGATTACTGGCGATGGTGAACATGGTGTTGGCCAGGCGCTGGGCCTGGCCCATGCCGGTGAAGATGGCCTTATTCCACTCGAGCCCGATGAAGGTGAACAATTCGAAGAGGAACATCACCACCACGGTCAGCAGCAGCCACCGGGTGTGGACCCGGGAAAACATGTGCGTGTAGCAGTGCCGCGGGTGTGCCAGCAGGAAGGCATACGGCGTGCCGGCTCGACGCCGGCCCACCCACCGATGCAGCCCGGCCACAATGGCCCGGAAGATGATCGGATACAGGCTATGCCCGAGGAAGGTCAACGAGGCGAAGAACCACAAGATGCTCGGGTGCCCGGCCCAGGGGGCAAAGCTGTCCGGGTGCAGGGCCGTGCCGATGGTGGAAAAGGCCGAGATGGTGTGGAAGAGGGCCCAAAATAGGGGGTGCCGCGGTTCCCCGGCATTGACGCCCCCGGGCCCGGCCCCCGGCGGGAAGACCACCCCCCCCTGGCGGAGGATGGCCCGCGCCGAGGGGTCCAGCGTCACCAGCAGCAGCAGCACCACCGTGCCCAGGACAATGACCGCCGCAAAGTAGCACAGGGCAATGCGAATGACCAGCGTCAGGGCCCGGAGCTCGATCGGCTGCCGGTCGCGCATGCGCCGGTCCATGACCAGCGTCCGGCGGAGGGTCCGTTCGAAGTAGCTCCGGCGGATGAGCACCGGCACCACGGACAGCAGGATATTCGAGCAGAGGATCGTGCACACCATGCACACCACCAGCGAGGCGGTGTGCATGTCGCTCAGCGGCACGATGGACATGCCGGTCAGCGAGACGGTCACCGCCGCCGCGGCGAAGCTATCAAAGTACCCGCCGGTCAGCGGGGTGGCCGGATTGTGGCTTTCAATCAGCCACACCGCCAGCGAGCAAAGGAGGCACACCAGCACGATGTATGCCACATGCAGGCGCAGGAAGTTGGCATACCGCGCCACCAGCGAGTATGCCACCAGGGCCCACAGGACCACCGGGCCGTGGCGATGGCCGGTGTCATCCACCTGCAGGGTGTCCCGCGCCCCGCGGGCGCTCTCCTGCAGATGCTGCAGCCGGAGGCTCAGATCGTCGAAGGCCTGGCGCACCAGCCGCACCGGCCAGCCGAGCATCCGCCGCAGCCGGGTGGACGAGTGGTACCGCGTGGTGTAGGGGATCTCCGGCTCGGAGTCCGCGTTGTCCGGCTGCTGGTGCTGCTGTGGCCCCGGCAGGGCATCCCCCTGGGTCTGGTGGTGGAGGGGGGGCCCGCGCTCGCCGAGCATGGCCATCGGCACATCCTCGCCGGGGTCCTGTGGTGAGAAGGGCCGATGTATCCGCCGTCGATCGGCCAGGTGCTGTGCGCGAGTGGAGCATGTGAGACTAGGTGGGGTGTCTGTGCGGTCGATGCGGCCGCCATCGAGGGTGTGTGTGGGTGTGTGGGTGTGGGTGTGGATGTGGGTGTGTGGGTGTGGATGTGTGTGGATGTGTGTGGATGTGTGGGTGTGTGGGTGTGTGGGTGTGTGCATGTGTGCATGTGCGTGTGTGGATGTGTGGATGTGTGGGTGTGGATGTGGATGTGGATGTGTGTGGATGTGTGGGTGTGTGCGGTGTGTGCGGTGCATGTGTGCGTGTGTGCGTGTGTGCGGTGCATGTGTGCGTGCGTGCGGTGCATGTGTGCGTGTGCATGTGCGTGTGCATATCCAGAAGGACCGGCTGGGTTCACGTACAGCACCGGCACCAGGCGGCATCAGATGCGCCACTTCTCAGGAGGGGGTACAGGCAGTCCGGCGCAGGCTAGACGAGAGGGGGAGGCAGGCGGGGCAGGCGCGAGGCGGTATGTGTGCGCGAGTGGGCGTGGAGCGTGTGGGTGTGTCAGGAGGGGGCTGGTCCTGAGCGCGACGCGCGTCGACACACACACACCCGTCCGCCAAGAAGGGACCGGATCTGGCGCGACCCGTGGCCGGGCACATTGTTCCCACGCATCTCCGGCCCGGGAGAGATCCTTCCCCGGAGCGCGGGCCCCTGTGCGAGTGCCACTGGTGCCGCTGGCAAGGCGGGAGAGAAGGGAGGAAAGAACAAAGCCGACCGGGCGGCATGGGCAGAATGCGGTCCCCCCGTCCCGCTCCCCCCCCCCCCACCCCCCGGGATGGTGGCCCGTCGGGCGAGCCACCCGCCACCTTTGGGAGGAGCGAAGTTTCTTCCCCTGCTCCGCGGGCGTCCCTTTGGCGGCCGGGGGGACAGCCCCTGTGTCGATGGAACTCCCGGCGATCGTGTCCGGGCCACCGGGGCGTGAACAGATCCCCCGGCCGCCGGCCGAGCCGGGGCCGCCGGCCGGATGTGTACGTGTGTGCCCGGGGGGG